TTATAAATATATATTGTATATACATATACATATATATATATACAACATATATATATATATCTATATATATTTATTTATGTATGTATATATATGTATATATGTATATATATGTGTGTGTGTGTGTTTGTGTGTGTGTGTTTGTGTGTATATGTCTATATATATATATATATATGAGGACGAATGTCATCATGATCATGACGTTTTTACCACTCAGAGCTATTTAAAGAGCACATTTGTATGGGTCATATGTTTTGCTGTCTATATTTGTTGACAAGTGTTTGTTCAACGTACAGAATTCAGATGAAGAGATTAGCCCCACGGTTTTCAAGAATCCTAGTTATAAACGAATCAGAGACAAGCCATTGAAGCAGATTATCTCACAGGAGAGGAATGCCTCTTTCCCGCCTTCCACTGCACTCTGTAAGTTCGACTGACGTTAGTTGTCAACACGATCTTCGTGCAGTCTATTTTGATACATTTGCGAGTATACGGAAGCACATATGAGGTCTGGTTGTGGTTGGTACATACGTGTATGTATACCGAGCATACATATTCACTATCAGGATATACAAACAGATATACGTGCTCTGGATACGCACACATCGAATAAATATATAGAATTTCCCCGTTTCGCCTGCATGCAACACCGATATTCGGCCCGCAATAGTAGTTTAATACACTCAAACGCTGAGTAGTTTCCTACCGTTAAACGTGTTTCTGTATGAGCATTTCCTGCACAGGCTCGTTGTTCTTACTAGAATGTAACACATGACGTACTCAATCACTATTGGATATGTCTATATTCTCGCAGTTGTTAGTATTGATGCTCCTCCCTCGCTCAAGCCTCCGTACAAATACAGTGACAGCTCCGGTCTGCTGGTAAGTGTGAGATGATGGTGTTTATTGCGCGGTCCTTGTGCCGCAATTATAGCACTGCTGCCTTTAAAGCTGCCCAGTTGTTTTTGAGTGACAGAGATGTCAAGTATAATCGCAAGGTTCAGTCTGCCACCTGGTTTTTGCGATATGATTCCTGGGTGTTGTTTAGAACACTTAAGTTGTCGGGGGGTTTATACGCACTTAGCATGAGCACTTAATCCATTGTCATACATGTTCGTGTGTTTGCTACTGAATGACGTTGCGCTTTCATTTTCTCGGTCATTATCCACAGCTTGGAACGTATTCAAGTAAAAAAATACCCATTTTTAAAAAAGATTTGTACTTTTTCTCTCATTCTCTGGGTCGTTCAGGCTTACTACGTAGACCCACGAACTAGAATACGTTTCAACAACAAAGAAGAGTACGCCAAGATCGCCGAAATGCCAGAAGACGTTATCAAGGGATACCTGGCCTTGCGAAACGCAGTGGACAGTATGCAATTGTAAGTCGGTGGAAGAGTGCACACTGACTGTGTTGCAGAACTACAAATCTGCAAGCCGGGGGAATACGCAACTCACATGTAGGTCCTTACTCGCAACTGTTTTGTTTCGCACCTATACGTCTGGGTGGCGCAGAACCCATTTGCTGACTTGAACTGCCCGTGCTACACTACTTAGCCCTGCGGCCAAGCCGAATAGAGTCCGTAGAACTTCATAATTTGCACCCTGAAGTCTGGTGTCAAATATCTCTCCGGAACTCAAGCCTTCCCATATTTCCGAATCGATGGGTACAATATTCCAAATGACTAAGTCTCCGTTTGCATGTCGAGTACAGCAACAGGTGAATGGTGCGCTGAGCTAGATGGCCATTCGATGCATAGTATTACGCATACCATATGTGCAGTTGGGTGCTATGCCCTTGGCTGTTTACACGCCGTATAAGGTTGGTGAGTACACAGTTCACACCTCTCCGCATCAGTGGTCACACTGGTGTACGATTTTTCCAGTTTGGCTGTTACATTGTTAACCTGCAGCAGCTACACAGAGAGTATGCTAAGGTATACACCCGCCCCACTTTTTTGGCTGTCTTGTTGACGGACTGCGGTGTACCATTGGAAGCCATGTGAAGCTGCCTGTGCCAACTAGAACTGAGTCGTGGGACTGTTGCTACGTCAGCTGCTCAGCTGTTGTGAGCAAGACAAAGTAGCGTTCGCACTATCGCTGCAGACATGCATGTTTATCCTGCTATGTCGTCCGAGCATGCTTTGGACTACTGACAAGACTCAGTTGCATATGTCTGAACTACTAATGCTGCTAATACTGGAAAAGTGCCAACCGTACACTGTATGGAATCTTCATTCAACAACAACACGAGTTGGTAGGCAACAGAGGAATATACAAAGCTGAGTGGCCCTCGCTTGCGAAGACATGAGAGAATATTCATGCCACCTTGTAGCTATCATTATTAGAGCGCAGTTCTAAAAATTAAGTACTTAGATCCGATACTCATTGTTTGCTTTCATTGCGTATAAAATACAGCACCAATTTTCAATACACCACGTCATTATTCATACTTGTACTATGATTGTGTTTATGTAAGAGCAGGGAAACGTTAAATTTCAATATATGTTCATAAATACATATATATATACATATGTATATGTATATGTATATGTACACATATATATGTATATATATATATATATGTATATATATATATATATGTATATATATATATATATATATATATGGTGTGTGCGTGTCTTACGTTTGTGTATACGTGTATGTGTATGAGCGTGTGTGCGTGTATGTGACGTATATATTTATATTTTTATATCTGTATATTATATATATATATATAAATATATATATATGTGTGTGTGTGTC